AAAACCCTGAAAATGTTCGAACGTGACGGTTGACCCTGCTCGAGAATAGGTGTGCTTAGAAAAACGCTCAGCACAATTTAGAAACTAGAAGTCTTGTGCATTCAAAAGCTGCCTTCACTTTCTGAAATGGTTATCAATGAAGAAAGTTATAGTCCTTTAAATAGGGGGTACATTTGACGATTTTTCCAACTAGCGCGCTCTAGGCACAGCGCGCGACGCGATCGCGGGTAGTTAGCGCCGCTATACTGGAGCGCGAGACTGTTCAACTGTGTAGGGGCTGTACCTCCTTCAATGTTCTACTTTCCGGCCAATGTGGCAAAGGTTAAATGTCTTTAAAGGAAAGAAGGAGAACCTAATCTGAGCAGAATTGAATCTAGCATTTGGATCAAGCCGCATTTGCGTGGCAGCGGCGCTGCGTCCCTCTCGCACATCTGAAACTAGCATTTTTTGATATGAAACCGGATGTGCAGAGGACAAAAAGGGGTCGTATCAGAGTTCATGTTTTGGAGGGGGGTCGTAAAGAGGCGGTTATTTCCTCGACACGATTTTCACCCTGGTCCGCCATGCTACTGCTTACTAAGTCAGTGCGCTAACCGCTACCTTGACAAGGCGCATGACTATACAAAATCATGAGACAAAGCTGTTTTATTCAAGTGAACGTTTGGCCGCTTCGCGACTGCTCCGCGGCATAACATACTACATACCTTTCTGCAGTGCTACATTTATAGCCTCGAACGTTGGATCAGGGTTTTCATATCTTTACATGGGTTAACTGATAGGATCTTGTTCCCTATCAGACCCGTTCATTTTATTTTAGATGGCTATGAAAGAAGGTCGACCGATTGTAGCCAAACCTCTTCCGTCATTTGCTGACGGCTTGACTGTGAAGATAGCTGGATGTAATAACTTCGTATAGCATACGCGCTCAAAGAGCTCAGTTTTCTCATTAATTTAAATCACTTATAAAAACTGGGGCGGGGGGGGGGGGGTGCCACGCGGCGGCGCGGCCCTATATTCAACCTATATGGCTTAGTCCGTGGTGCCATTTTGAAACTGCCATAGTGCGACGAAATGGTAAAGATACTTATGACTAAGCCTTGAAGATGTTGAATAACAGAGCGTCGTCAGCACCCTTTTGACCACTAATTTGCTCGAGCTCCTTAAAATGCTTGGTGTTAGCGGAAATACGATAATCAGTGGAGTTTCCTCTTATGCCACCGGTATAAGAAATTGCAACCGCTAAACCATTACAACATCCGAGGCATGTAGTTATTTGCGCTAAAAGCTGATAGTAAGCAGCCAAAGTAATAGTATTGCTTGTCAGGGTGAATATCGGATCGGTCGAGGAAGTCCTCGACAGGAGGGAACGTATTTGTCAGGGTGGGTCATGGGGGTCGTACTCGTTGGGGTCAGTAACGTCAGATAGGAGAGAGAGGGTGTAGCGCAGCAGAAAACAAGGATATGTGAGAAAACATGAGATAAAATATTCTTTGCAGGTCCAGTCGCTCCATTCCTTTACCTTTATGAGAAGGACGTATTTGAAAGTAGTACAAGGAATGAAAGTGCATATTCACAATGCGTACAGGAGCGTTCATAGTTGGCGATCGTACGTGCGATTAGGCGATTAGGCGAGTAGGCGATGATTCAAAATGAAAAGTATACGGATCGATTAGGCGATTAGGCGATTAGGCGAGTAGGCGATTAGGCGAGTAGGCGATCAGGCGATGAGTAAAGGATACGTATCGATTAGGCGAGTACGCGAGTAGGCGATTAGGCGAGTAGGCGATTAGGTGATATCTGGATTGTATGCAACACTTTGACAAGATCTGCTTTTACCAACTAGTAGTCTAGTGTATGGGTGAGAAGCTAATATGCATGTGCGCCTCAATTTTGACGACTAAGGAGTGCGCCGTGTGCAAATCGCCTAATCGCCTAATCGCCTACTCGCCTACTCGCCTACTCGCCTACAACGCCCTCAGGGCGGAACATACAAGTCGATACGTATGTAGTCTTCACCGCCTAATCGCCTACTCGCCTGATCGCCTACTCGCCTACTCGCCTAATCTATACGTATATTTTTCATTAGACTAATCGCCTAATCGCCTAATCGCCAACTATGAACACTCCATACACACGTGCTGTGGAGGCACATCCTCTATCTAAGTCCCGCTCTCTCGCCCTTAATACCTCGTTGAAAATGAGGCAGTTGTTAGGGAGCTGTCGCAAACGGCAAGAGTTCTGGAAAGACCATGGGCGAATGAAGCTGTTCCTTAGGTTACGGGAGTTACGAAATGTGTTTACTACAATACAGTTTCTGTCAACAGGTCATCATCATATGTGTAACACCTTTCAATAGATTCTACAACTTGAGTGGAGGTCGGATGCATGGCCTATACTGAGACGAGAATCGGACGATGACGATTGCCCTTTTCTTGTCGCTTACGTTGGGAGAATTTATTCTAGACACATTTCGAGCGTTGCCAACAAATTACACTTGCAATGGTGAAGAAGGGAGCGGCTTTTTGAGCGGCCGAGAATCATCCTCGATAGATCCTCGACGCAAATATCTCCTCAACTAGAGAATTTAGAAGGAGGCAGATAGCGCAAGCCTTCGGCTTTCCAATTCTTGAGAAATTTCGCATCTTCGACGCTCCCTCGACAAAATTTGAGAGACCCTATCTCTTCGAGTGTGAAGATTTTAGATCAATTTCAATATTGCCCGGTAGTAGCAAATCCAGCTCTATCTAACCCTACCACATACTGCTCCAATGAAATGGGGGAATGGAACCTTTTCATCGAGAGTGTAGATTTCGACGGTTTCGAGCGGGGTTTCGGCAAATCTGACCCACGGATAAACCGCGCTGCAACTGAATGCTTTGCTGTACATTGATGGAACTCGCTTATTCACATCAAGGCACTTTTAGAGGGGTCGTACTGATCTGACCACGTCCTCGACACGATTTTCAACCTTTGGCTTATTCCAAGCCTAATCGGCCGCTGGACCGTGTTAATTTTCGGAAAATAATGGGTTTTATGGTACAGACCTCTGAGGAATTACAGCTACTAGCAGTGCAGTAACCCTTGGATAATAGCACCAGTCATATGCATTGAATGCATGCGTGTTGCTTAATACAAGAGTTCTATGCTCAGTTTACTGGAGCCTACTTTGACATGCGCGCGGTAGCGAGCGGAGCCAAACTGGTTTTCTCTATAATTTCGTTGAACCCTACGGTACACCGTAAACTTCGTAAATTTTCGCAAAACGCGATTCTGCGTCTTTATTTCGCCTTAAAACTGAGTTTAACTTTGTGTTTTTCAAATCCTAACATACCATAGAAAAACGCTCGTGGGGCTCTATAAGAAACTTTCAAAAAAAATTAAAAATTTCGACAAAGTTTCATCTTTGATTGCGCCACGCTTCCAAATTTCATCTCGAGAACTACTAGTTGTTTATAGGTGACGCGTAAATAATCCCACCTCTTCAACCTTATCGTCTGTAAAAATATGGGTCTCAACACTCGCGACGTATGCGCCACCTATTCAACATCATCCAATACATTAAGGAATGAATTGAGCAATTTATCCAGATTCCATCAAATTATTTCATTTTGAAGCGCTGAGTGATCGAAGGTGTATCCTTGCGCTCAACATCATATTCTCTCGTTTTCCAAAAGAGTGTTGTTTAAGGCCACACTTTGGGACAAACGCTCAACTGCCACCAAGCTGCCATCTTATTCCCACACACCAAGTAATCGAAAAGTACTATGGCGGTGAAGGGATTTCTTCGCTACCCACACAGCTTTCGACGGCAGATCCCCTTAAAGTTGGGAAACTTCGCAAAACGCCCCTACTACTCCTGCTGGAATCTTATTTAGCATTCCCATTCGACTACAGGGACTATGTAGTGCAAGAACACACCACGACCATCATCGCTTTTTTAAAAATGAATAACCGTTACTAAAGGAACGGAACGGAGAAATATTCAATTAATCTCACAATGAAATAAACGAAATCGAGTGCCTGGCGCACTCTGGAACGAGTGCTGAGACCCATCTGTCTATACATAGGCGACGAGTGGTTTATATAGCATTACATGCGTACTTCTCGAGATGAAGTTCGAGCACATGGCGCAATACGAAATGAGGTTTCTCCAAAATATGCAGTGCATTCTATAGAACCTCCTACAAGATAGTTCAATCACCTGTATCCCTGTCGTCCCGTTGATCATCGAATTGCTCGAGCGGGCGCCAGCAACGTCTCCATTCGTCCCTGTCGCGTGCAAGAGTTGTCCAGTGGACCCTCCTCGCTCGAGGGACACGGTGTCCTTCATTCCTTTCGTTCAGAGCTTTCGTGAAGAAGTCTGACCATCGGGCCGGCGGTCGTCCAGGTGTTCGTTTGACGTCCCGAGGGATCCAGTCGGTAACCGCTCTGGTCCAACGGTCATCGCAAAATCGCATGACGTGTCCGGCCCACCTTATCTTCGATTCCTTGGCGAAAACGGCAGCGTCCCTGATCTTCGATCGTTGGCGTAGTTCGGCACTCCGGATTCCCCTCTGCACTTGCGTGTATAGGGTTACTCCTTGCATCGTCCTCTCGACAGCGCGTTGGATAACGCTGACCGCATGCTCGTCCTGCCTGCGCAGAGTCCAAGTCTCTGAGGCGTAGGTTAGGGCAGGAAGGACAGCGAATCGAAGAGGTGGGCACGACCAAGTTCTTCGTCACTGAGTTTTTTGCCAGATAGGCAGATAGGCCACAGCATTTTTAGCGCTTTGTTGATGGAAGATAGTAGAAATCACTGCTCTCTCTGTAAAACGCACTTTTCTTGAGAAGGCCGACTCTTGCAGACATGGTTGATGGAGTGGTCGCTAACAACGAATAAGAAGAGGAAGTCTATTCGCGCTGGAATCCTGAAGACTGTCTTACAACTAAAAAAGTGAGTTTACTGATGTGCTCTTGGACGAAATCTCTTTGCTGGTGCCATCGTGTGCTTTGAACTGCAGATGGTGCTCGAAGGAGCTGGCGCTATTGGACCAGCAGCTTTGCTGGCTGGCAACATTGAAGGACTGGCAGGAAAGCGAATCGCTTGCATACTATCAGGTGGAAACATTGAAAGCAGCATGATTGGACTTACAATTGAGAAAGGTGAGTTACAAAAGAATTCTTAGGCTACTGGACTGATGATTTACTCGATCATGTGGTTTAGGTAGGCAACTCAGTCATGTTGATAGCGGTTCATTTCAAACTGAGAGGATAGTTTTTGTTTTTAACGCTTATAACAGAAACAACGGTTTCATGTTTGGTGTTTGAAAGTTACTACAACTTGTGCTCAACACCTCGTTCAGTAGTCACAGTGGTGGAAAAACACCGTTGTCGCAAATGGTCGTGGCCCTGCTGCGATCCGCCTCGATGGGCACTACTAGCAGCTCCTGTCGCTTTAGGTTTGAGTTTTTCCATCAGGCCCACAACGCCACTCCTACGCACCACGCAGGGAGGCGGACCATTCCCTCGAGTACCATGGGTTCCAAAGGGTTGATACTGTCTCATGCACTTCCCTTCCAAACACTGAGCATAAGAAACAAATTGAGAATCAGCCTACGATTCCGAATCGAGTGGGAGGAACCCCTACTTTACCTGTTGATTTCCGAATTGATGTTTCTTTCATCGATGATGCCTCCAACGCTAATGCATTCTCTCCTGAAAGGCTAAAGTCAGACGACGAGAGGTTCCCATGATGGACGTCTGATGCGCGCCCGAGCGCAGTCACAGCCCCTGCAAAGGCCGCCCTGGGGCATAATCCTCCGTCAAAACTGCATTGTCCGCACCCCTAAACCAAAGTCCTACCCTCACTTGTAGAATTCTCTTCGATCGCCGCGCTTCAGCGAAGAATCATCTGCCTTCGGCTCAAACACCTATTTCATCTCGCTTCCCCTTACACTGCTTCTTGACGCGTTCGCTCAGACTCATGAACCAGAACGGCTTTTTAGCTTTGACTGGATTCTTATAGGGCTGGCTATTGATAATCGAATGATTCAAGTCAGAGTGACAATGCCTGATATGGTCGGTGGATTTGCAGAACTGTTCGAAATATTCGCTAAGAATGGATCGTCTGTGAAGGAGTTTCTAACGGTAAGGTATTTCATCAAGGCAAGCGCGTACTTCATAGGGTGAATAGGTCCATTGCCTGGCATCTCTAATTCCACATGAAAATCGAAACTTGACTAAGGTTCTCATCATACTTTTGCGCGGTCGCGTATAGTATAGTCAGTGTGGTCAGTGCATCGGGGAGTGTCAACAAATGCAGGCGTATGTGCGTAGATGGCGCAAACTTGGTGCTTCAAATCGATCAATTTCCATTTCAATACATTTTGTGTACCTTTTGATGTCCTAATACCGCTTCTTGGTGGGCTTTTCTGATATAACTTCCTACTACATATATATAAATTCGCTCCACCAAGTTATTCTGTCTGTGTGGCTTGTGTGTCTGCCGACGTCTCGTCTTCACGAAATTCATAGCGCGCTTCGCTGCAGGCATGGAACGCTGTATTTTGAATGGTGTAGGGGTGGGACGGCAACATATTTGGTGGGGTTTGTAAAGTGATACCGACTGATAAGATCTGATGAGAGGCGCCAAAACGCCAATTATGATATTATCAGTCGCTGTCCCAGCAGTGTGGGGGCATTGGTTTTCACATAAATGTAATGTACATGGTGTAACGGAACATAATTCGTGGGGTAATAATAACGTGATAAAGATCCGGGTTTAGAAAATGGCGCTGGAAATGCATATTTAACGAAGTCATAGCTGCGCGTCCCCAGCAGCAGTGGGCGTTGGTTCCAAGAAGTGATGTACACAGTGCGACGGGAACATGTACGGTGAGGTACAGGAGGTGATAAGGGCCGATAATCACGTGGGAACATATGGATCGCTTAAAACCGTGGTTCTAGATAACGCATTTCACTTCAGAATCATCTCATTGCGTTGTTGTCATCAACATAAAATACCGTTCGACCGCTATATTCCCAAAATCCCTAAGAATGTATGATGGATGTTTAGCGATATACGATATTGGGTATTTCTATTGCAAAATCATTGGCATCAATAGTCTCCATGTCGTCCTTTCTTGGAACCTCGGCATTTGATGTTAAATTTGCTGCAATTGTGTTTTGTACTGTATGCCAAACGAGGTTTTTTAAGATGGAATCTTTATTGACTAGCCTGACGTTTCGACAGCTTCGTCTTCTTCAGAGGCCTGGAGATAGTCTGAAGCTTTTGATTCGTTAGCTACTCGATCCACCGCGCACAGTATTCTTGACGTCAGAGAACGTCGAGAATACTACGGCAGGGTGAATAACGGTCGAGGAATTTCTTGACCATGGCTCTCTACTGTGTGAGAGTAGTGTCGAGAGTGAATAATGCGCGGAGAGCACAGACGGCTCGCAGCTGGCGAGAGTCAGCATCCGCGTGGAAGAGCGTGAAAGAATCCTCGACAAGCCATTGTCTTTCCCTCAAGCCATTTTCACCCTGTACTACCGAGCACTCAGTATGAAAACCTAACTCACCGATGATTCCACCGATGCGGAGCAGTAGCTCACGCCTGCGTTAGTTGACGTCAGTAAAAAGAATGAGCTCTACTCGTCTCGTGGTGCCATATATTCTCGAAATCTGTCAATTTGCACGTCGCATTGATAGCTCGCACTTCGAGACAAAAGGCAAGAGTTCATTCGTAATCGACGGACATTCGTTCCGGCCATTCATTCTAGGTTTCCTTGCGAAAATCCAGAATGATTCTAATGCTTTCTGATAACAGCTCAGCTCGAACGCTCACACATTCATTCATATTCCGCCTAAATCTCACACGGTAGAGCCATGGTCAGGAAATTCCTCGACCCGTTATTCACCCCTGCCGTAGTATTCTCGACGTTCTCTGACGTCAAGAATACTGTGCGCGGTGGATCGAGTAGCTAACGAATCAAAAGCTTCAGACTATCTCCAGGCCTCTGAAGAAGACGAAGCTGTCGAAACGTCAGGCCAGTCAATAAAGATTCCATCTCAAAAACATCGTTTGGCAACAATACAAAACACAATTGGCATCAATTTATTCGACCGCTGAATCATCCTGACATCCAATGCATGGTGGCTGTTTACAGACACCGCTGTAGCTCCGCACTCCACCGCGCGTATCAGACGGTTGGTTGAAAATGGGCATTCTGTAGAAGGCCAGCTAACGCATTTCACGCCCCCAAAGTTACTTCGTTCACCGCAGAACGTCAACGCTCCTCCGCCTCGGCCGTCTTTACCGCGACCCTTCCGTGTCTACTTCAGCGGCGGTTAGTGTGCGGAGCCTAAACTGGTTTTAATTTATAATGACTATTTTGCGCATTGATGCAGCCACTCTCCTATTTCTTTGTTCATGGGCTACTTTCGAACCTAACTGCAGCAAAGTCGATGTGATAGTTTGAAATCACCTGGTTGTGCGCCATATCGTCTCACCCTCCCTTTTTGCAGAATATTCCCGCACAGCACACTGCATATCCGCTCATGTCGCCAAAGTAATCGCCAGGGGACTTTAGCAAGACAGACTCATCTTTGATGGCAAGTGAATCTGGCTGGAAGACGGTGCGGATTTCGATAACGTCATTAGGTTTTATGCATGACGTTTTACAGACCACGTAATATTGTGGCAGCTATGTATGCATGCCAGTTACACTCGCTTTTTTCGCACATGTCCAACTTCTTCCTCCACCTTTTTTTGATGGCCATCCTTTCCACATGTGATTGCGAGGTGGAATTCGCTGCGTACACCAACTCTTGTTTTCGCTTTAGCATTTTCTTTTCACGATCATGGATTGTTTCTGGAGTCTATCTTCGAAAAAAGTCAGTAACTAATTGTACTACTAGTGGGACCGTGAAATAAAGGATGTTGGTCGCGTGTCGTTCCAACCTGTAACAGTTGATTAGAGCGAACGCGCTAGGCCAACTAGGCTAGAAGATCCGCTCGCCATTTCAAAAGGTGTGGCAAAGGTCGGGTTCATTCTCAGTGAAAAGATATAGGTACAGTTGTAATGCCTGCAGCTCTAGAGGTCGCGACAACTTAGCATCTAAAAACGCTTCACTAACCATTAGGCGCTAGGCGCCCAAGATTTCTATCCGCTGACGCCCGGTCGATCCATCCCCGCCCATTGTTTGATATATCTTCTCTGTGTCGAATGATTGACCAGTTGTATGGTCTCCCTCAAAGTTCTTTCCCCTCTCCGCGACTAGCATCATATCTTATTTCGTTGTTTGCCTGTTGAAATTACTGCAGCGTAGAGCAAGGAAGTTCGTATTTTCTGTACTTTTGACGACTCTTCCTGTTTGTCCACTTCTACCCCACTTCGCATCCCTACTTCCGAGTTAGATTGTCACATTAAATCAATTAACCCTGGTGTAGCCTTCAAGCGCAATTCTGACCCACACCCGACTCAAAGTGGTGAGGAGAGTCAACTGTCCTACTGAGAGCCTGATCTACTCGGAATATGCCGGAGGCCCACATTTTGCGCGGCTCTTGTCTCATCCCATTCATTCCTGTAGATCATTACCTCAACAATTAATACGTGCGATCCCATAAACAAATCATACCTCTGACCAACTTTCAAGCTGCTTTTATTACTTCTTGATAACTTTCAGGACGGTGTGTTCCATCGTTTTGACGTGCTTACACTCGAATGTAAAATTGTCGCTGAAGTTTGTGGAGTTGAACACGCTATGCAACTGAACGAAGCAATTCTTGCTAGGTTAGTGATGAGTATTTCTTCGCGATTCATTTCCTAGTCTGTGCAAGTTGAAAAACTTTTAGGTATGGATCAAACTGCCAGTTTTCACTGAGCCACAGAACCCAAAGAATCAACGCATAATTGTTCGGCTATGCGTCTGTGCTATCATCAAGATGATATCGTAAATATATGCAAATATTTTTTGAAATTGTTAGCTTCAATGAATAGTTATAGTATAAGGCCGTGTATTCATGTATGAGCAAATATAACACAGCGGATAGAAGCGCTATGCCGCAACTATGCGATCCTTATCTGGCAACACCTCGAAAAGCTATGCTGCCATCAATTCCTCCGGGATCGAGTGAGTGGCAAAAGCCTTCTTCGAGTAAATAGTGAGTTGCGACATGTGCTTGGTCGCAAAAATCATCTCCAAATATGTACACGTCTGCGATCCGATTAAGAGTCGAGTGCATGGCACATGCCGAATGGATTGAGGAAGTGTAAGCTTCGCCTTTCAATTTTAAAATCCCTAATGAAGTGGATTATTGCTTGGCACCGTTATGTACGCGTCCGGTTTTTTCGAAGCATTGCTGAGTGCGCCTTCGTGAGAATACGAGCAGTTTCGTCTCATTTATATTCTCGATGAAAAGGAAGAGGGGAAGCTCAATGGCCTTCATTAGGAAAGTGGGTTGAATTCTCGGCATTGGTTCAAGTTCCAGAGCACCAGTGGGAGCTCACGAATCCATCTAAAGCAGATCGGTTTGTTCCTGTGTTCGTATCTATTCTTTTTGTTCACTATCTCGTCTTTCAACAATATTTAACGAAAGTGATTCGTAGTGAACGCCGAATCGCATTCAACTGCCACTACGACTCCTAGCGGAAAAGCGATGTCGCATCCAAGGGGAACAAAAAATCCCCTTAGCTTTTCTTTGCCTTTCCCAGAAAAATCCTGAAAAACTGCATATCAGTAATGAATATATGAGTGTAAAAGCAAACAAGTGTGGAAAGTAAGGGAAACTGTCTTTGAAAACAAATATATTTGAAGGATTCTTTCTTTCCCCTAGCCTGGGAGAGGGATAGGGTCAGTGTCACCCGTACGTTTACACTATTCGAACGAGGGGGTCGCATTTTGGGGGTTGAGCGACGTGAATGATCCTTGAAGAAGCGCGGAGGTGGATAAAAGGGGTTGATATTCAGAAGCGTCGTTTGACGGATTTGGCGCTTTACCCCCACCCCGCTTGACGG